AAAAGATAATTCAGGCTGGGTGTGGTGGCTCATGCCTGTAATCCCAGCACTTTGGGAGGCCAAGGTGGGTGGATCACCTGAGGTCAGAAGTTTGAGACCAGCCAACATGCTGAAACCCCATCTCTACTAAAAATACAAAAATTAGTCAGGTGTGGTGGCAGGTGCCTATAATCCCAGCTACTCGGAAGGCTGAGGCAGGAAAATCACTTGAACCCGGGAGGCAGACATTGCAGTGAGCCGAGATTGAGCCACTGTACTCCAGTCTGGGAGACAAGAGTGAGACTCCATCTCAAAAAAAAAAAAAAAGAAAAAAGATAATTCATTAAAACCTTCTGTTCTTTGGCTGGGCATGGTGGTTCATGTCTGTAATCCCAGCACTTTGGGAGGCCAAGGGAGGTGGATCATTTGAGGTCAGGAGTTCAAGACCAGCCTGGCCAACATGGTAATACCCCATCTCTTCTACTAAAAATACAAAAAAAAAAAAAAATTGATGGACATGGTGTCAGGCACTTATATTCCCAATTACTCAGGAGGCTGAGGCAGGAGAATCGCTTGAACCTGGGAAGTGGAGGTTGCAGTGAGCAGGGATCACGCCACTGCACTCCAGCCCAGGCGGGAGACTCTGTCTCAAAAACAAATAAATAAATAAAATTTGGGGCACCTTTTATTCAGTATTGTAAAATACTGCTACTTGTACTTGTTGAGTAGTTTGTCTGATCCTAAAGTCAGTTCTTGTCGACATGGTGGCTCACATCTGTAATCATCTGTAATCCCAGCACTTTGGGAGGCTGAGGCAGGTAGATCACCTGAGGTCAGGAGTTCAAGACCAGCCTGGCTAACATGGGGAAGCCCCATCTCTACTAAAAATATAAAAATTAGCTGGCTGTGGTGGTGGACACCTACTTAGGAGGCCGAGGTAGGAGAATCGCTTGACCCCAGGAGACAGAAGTTGCTGTGAGTCGAGATGGCACTATCGCACTCCAGCCTGGGCAACAGTGAGACTCTTTCTCAAAAAAAAAAAAACCCAAAAAACTCAAGTCTGTTCTCTTAACCATTATGTTATATAACAGATATTTTTATACACACACACCCCCAACAGATTAGAAAAGTGTAGTAAGTATACTTGCATATCTAAGTTTTACCAGCCATTTGTGTCAGCTATTGATTTTTTATCCTGCCAGTAGTGCTTATTTCATTTTGTCTATATTTAACATATGGGCAGGAATATGAAAACATATGTGTCTATTTCAAGACTCCTAGAAAGCTATGATACTATTTTGTTAATACTATCATAGTTTTCTAGGTTACAAGTTGCTGTGATCCCAGCACTTTGGGAGGCTGATGAGCTGAGCATGGTGGTGCATGCCTGTAGTTCCAGCTACCCAGGAGTCTGAGGCACAAGAATCACTTGAGCCCGGAAGGCGGAGGTTGCAGTGAGAACAGATCCCTGCACTTTAGCCTGGGTGACAGAGTGAGACTCTTTATCGAAAAAAAAAAAAAGTGTAAAAGCATGGCAATGATTTCATGGATGTGTACACTTTATTATGTGCAGTTTATTGTACATCACATACTTCACCGCAGTAAAGAAATGGTAAATAGTAGTAAAGTATTAAAGAAATGGTCACAATGAAAATGATTGATATTGCACTTTAATCCATAAAATCCTTTTTAATACAAATATATGAAGTCAAGAAAAGTTGTAAAGAATAAAGTAAACAATAATAGAACCTAGACCAGCAGTAAAATATATAGCCCACATCCTACAGGAAATGGAGAATTGGATCCTTGGCTAGTACTTATGCCAGCTTCTAGGTCAGTGTTATTTATGAAATACTTTACTAAATCAGGTTCCCAATTTTTAGAACACCTATGGCACCCACATCAAGTTATGCACTGATTATACTTTACAGAATCAAAATAGATTGGACTCTGTATTAAAAACCCAGCAATTTTGTCTGAAACATAGATAAACCCCTAATCTCAAGGGAAGTTATTAATTTATTTTTAATTTCTAAAATTCCTTTTGAAGGAAACTAAATATAATCATGTACTGCATAATGACATTTCAGTCACTGATGGATCACATATAGGATAGTGGTCCCATAAGATGATAATATTGTATTTTAAAGGTACCTTTTCTATATTTATATGTGTTTAGTTAAACAAATATAATACTTATCATTGTGTTGCAGTTGCTTACAGTGTTCAGTACAGTAACACATTGTACAGGTTTATAGCCTAGAACCAATAGGCTATACCATACAGCCTAGGTATATAAGCAGGCTACACCATCTAGGTTTGTGTAAGTATACTCTATCATGTTCACACAATGAATAGCCTAATGGCACATTTCTCAGAATGTATTCCCCTCATTAAGCTATGCATAACTATGCACTGATCTCCTTTTGTGATTCTAGCTAGTTAAAATAAGGTGTAATAATCTGCTAAAATCTATAATTAATAATTTGTTTATGACTGGGCACAGTGGCTCACACCTGTAATACCAGCACTTTGAGAGGTTGAGGGAGGCAGATTACTTGAGCCCCAGGCGTTTAAGACCAGCTTGGTTAACATGGTGAGACCCCTCTCTACAAAAAATATGAAAATCAGCCAGACGTGGTACTGCATGCCTGTAATCCAAGCTACTTGTGAGGGTAAGGATCCCTGTGTCCAGGAGATTGAAGCTGCAGTGAGCTGTGATTGCGCCACTACTCTCCAGCCTGAGTGACAGAGTGAGAGTGAGACCCTGTCTATAAATAAATAAATAAATAAATAAAATCAATTTATATTGAACTTCGTCATGTACCATTGTAGCTTCACAAGGCTGAGGAATATCACCACTGCTATCTGCTTTGTGTCGTAAGGGAAGCAGAAAAGCTGCATGCACACACACATACACACACACACTGTCATACAAACACACACAAAAACATATATATACACCTGTGTATGTATGTAAATACATGGAGAGATGTAAAGGTTAGGAATTAAATAAAATGCCATTTTATTTTGTCAACATTCAGTCACCATTTTGAGATTATGTTGCCTTACTCCAAATAGCTACCAGATATCGTGTTTGGTTATATACGCTGTAATGCAAGCAATATATATTTGTTTCTGATAATTCTTACATTTAAGATTGATTTTTACTTTTAATAATGTACTAAAGGAAAGCCTCCGAAGAAATTAGTGAAACTAGTTTTCTGATAGACATTCAACCATCCTTTGTCGGTAGGGGTTGATAAAATTTAACAGCTTGAGGATACTTAAATCAGTTTAGAATACATATTTATCTATCTATCTATCTATCTATCTATCTATCTATCTATCTATCTGGAGACAGAGTCTCCTTCTGTCACCCAGAAGTGGTGTGCTCTCAGCTCACTGCAGCCTCCACCTCCTGGGCTCAAGCGATTCTCCTGCCTCAGCCTCCCGAGTA